CTCAGGTAAGCAACAATTCACAGTACTGGGGAGGAATAAAAAACACATATGACAAGCAGAAGAGATCTGGAGGTGGTCATTCTAGATCAGAATAGGCAGGAATGGCTGAGCTGGGCTAAGGTCACATGTTGCTCACCTAGGCCAGTGAGATCCTCAAGGGAGGGCCATGCCTCTAGTGCCCATCTGAGTGGACCTGACTCAAGGTGTCAAGCTAGAGGTTGTGGCAACCTTTTCCATTCTGTCTTGTCTTTGCCCTAGCTGAACTTCTTTTCTTCACTCTTTCTTCTTGAACTCTACATTCACAGTAAATGAACATCTATTTTTTTCATTCATCATTCATGGCTCTTTTAATTTCTCCAGATTTCTTATAGGGAAATAATCCTTCCCCAACTCCCTGTCTCCATGGTTTGGGTGGTGTTGACTCACTTCCAGCTGAAAGAATGTAGCACGTGCCCCAAAGCTAGTTAATGAACTCAGGGAATTACTATGACCATAGTGTTTGGTTCGTGGGATTCATGAGCCAGACTGGTGCAATCAAAGTAAATTCTGGTACATGAAGTTCTAGAAGAGACACTTTGTCCTTCCTGCTGAACCAGAACCTAGAAGGAGATAAAGCTGGAGCTTCTGAATGTGGAAGCAACCACAGGAGGAAAACTTGTCAGAAAATGGAGCCAATAATAATAGTTAACATTTCTATAATGCTGACTGTGTGCCAGGTGGAGGTGGGTTTATTCTGAAGCTGATGATGCTTCAGCTGGGTCAGCCTCATGCACATCCCTCCCCAGGCTCTGAGAGGAACCTAACAATCGGCTCTTGTGATTATATGTTTTAATAAAATTTGCAAAAATAAATTATTTTATCCAGGACTGGTTAAGACCACTATCTTCCCCCTCCTCCATCTCTGTTACTGTTGATGAGGCTGTAGATACTTTAAGGATCTGGTTAAGGAAAAGTAGAGCTAGAAATACATTTAATTTGAGTTTGGTGGAATATATATACGTGGTTTACAGTCAGTTTCATGTACAGTAAAGTCATTGCTAGATGTAAGTTTTGAGAATAGTTTCCAGAAATATTCTATCACCCACTGTACCAACTCAGCTAGCAAAGGGACGAGGCCAGAGATTGTATAGTGTGTCTTGGGACCTGGGTAATGGCTGGTGCATAGGCAGTGAGAAGAATTCACCAAGACAAAGCAAAGTAATTAAGTTTATTGGAGGGACGTGTGATGCAAAGATGCAGCATAGATAAGACAAAGGTGTCTGCCCACAGATTCAGAGGATATCTGGGCTTTTATCCACTTCTGAGTTCTTTGTTCACCTTTGGCAAGTTTTTTTGCTAGGAGTGATTTATGCTAAATAAGGGTGATTGACAGATTCCTGGATCCTGCACATAATGCTTATTGTGTATCACCAAATGCTCCTTCCCAAGTTTTAAATCAGGTGCATAAGATGCATGTAACATGCATGGGGTCTTAAACAGGGGTTTCCTTTCCTTAGGTTACTCTCGGTCAAACTTGGGAGTTGGCATACGCTCCTGGGGATAGTTTTGGAAAACAGGATCTTGTTTTTTACACTTAGGAAAGTTAGCTCCTCTGATAACAGCAATGGAGCAGGATGAAAGGAGGTCCTTAAGATCATATCAACTCTGCTGATTGAGGTGAAGTGGGCCCTAGGACAAGGGTCCCCAATCTGTCCTGTCTCATTTCCCCCTAAGAGGCATTGCCCCAAAATTTCTTGAGAGGGTGATGAGGGAGGAAGCCCCATCTTCTAAATCTATTTCCTGCTGGATTTGGGTGTTGTCCCTGCCTAACTTGGGGCCTTGTCTCTTCCCTATGTTTGGGGTTGTCCCAAGCCCCAAAAGTGGCTGCCCGACCGGTCTAGCAGTGTACAGTCAACAGTGGGAATGGGAGTAAATCACTGTCGAGTCATCCTCTAGAGGCAGGGAGTCTGCAGGAAGGAAGAAACAAAATGAACAAGCAGGTTTTAAGAAAGCAAGGACTAAAACATAGTAGTAGGAGGAATATGAAGAGCAAGGGAGAAGGAATGGGAAGATTCATGAAAATACCCTTTGTCCCCATCCCAGGAGCAGATTAGGAAACATTTAAACAAGTCAGGTTCTCCTTATTACCTTTCCAAAAATACATATAAATTCTCATCCCAGTGTAAAAAGTCACATAAAATTTTTATATTACTTATGGGTGACAAGTTACCCTTATCCAGTTACAGAATGTTAAATGACATAAATAAAAACAGTTATAAAGCAATCATTTAAAAGACTTTATAAACATATGTTATAGAATTTAAGAAGTCAAGAATACTTGAATTTACTTAGCAGTTGATATTTAGTATTTTAACTGCAAATTAATCAGATATGTCTTCTAATAAACATTTATGAAGATTAATCCCATTTATGTTAAATCTGATTTACCATTTTAACTGTCAACTTTAGGTTAGCTATGAAAACCAAGATATTAGACAAACCTAATTAATGTTTTAAGTCATCATTTTCCTGCTGAAGAAAAATCCTAAAAGCAATGTATATTACACTTTAAACATTTCATAGAAACCAGTGCGTTCTCTCTCTCTCTCTCTCTCTCTCTCTCTCTCTCTCTCTCTCTCTCGCTCTCCCTCCCTCCCTCCCTCTCTCTCCCTGTTTTTGTTTTTGTTTTTAAACAGGCAAACTGCAGATTTATTGAAGGTGAAGGTGGAGGCAGCATTCTGATAGGTAGAGTGAAGTGGGCAGAGCAAGAGAGAGAGAAGCTCAAGGTGCAGTGCTCTCTTGATTGATTGACCACCTAGAAAAACATGTGGGTTAATAATTTTAAAGACATCTTCACTCTTTTTTTAAAAAAAACAGTTTGAGTCACATGAAATAAAAGACATTTAGATCCATTTCTTTTTTAAATTTATTTATAAGTATTTATAAGTGCTCATTTATCTATAAGCCATTTTTTGCCATATACATTATATATAGACACAAGCATGTATATAGACACAACATACAAATCACAGGTGTGCACACATACACATAAAAACAGACAGGAAACAAAGATTTTATAACTTTTCACCAACTATTAGATCCCCCAAATGGGAGACAAAATAGCTACAGATGCTTATTACACAGACTATCAGATTTAACCCTTAAGGAGTTAAAAACAGAGCCTGTCTCAGAGGTCCTTTGTGGGACAGTGAGCAAAAGATTATAGAACAGAGGACGCAGATCCAGAGGAAGCCTGTAGAGTTAGGGATGGCTGGGAAAGAGTCTATCTATCATGTCTGGACACTGAATCAATGTTTCAGGTGGCCAATTGTCCATTCATGAGGTAGATCTATCTCAACCATCACCACTGCTTATTTTCTTTTTTAGGACCTTCTAGAAGAGATGACTGCTTTCAAATTCCAGTATATAGAGAATTAACCCTTTAATAATTGGTCTCTAAATAAAGACAGCAGGCAATAAAAACAAAGGACATACACACACACAAAAACAAACAAACAAACAAAAACACAACTCTTCAGTTAGACAAAACAAAACAAACCAGAACAAAAATACAGTAATTTAGGTGCATGGGAACAAAGGTAAACTTATCAGAAAACTCATGAGCTCAAAAAAGACAGAGGTTTAAAAAAAAAAAAAAAAAAAGACACAGCCATAATTATTCTAGTAAAGAAGCACATGGAATATCTATATCAGACCAGAGTGAACTTTTGGATGAGATTAGAGTCAGTCCAGATATTTTAAAGAATGTGGGAGCCCATGAGGTCCAGGGAGAGGGTGGACCTCAGGAAAGGATTCTCAAGAAAAAGAAAACCTGTATATATCAGATCTTTCCATTTTCCTTCCCTGTGAGCATTTAGGGAGGAACTTAGAGCTGAATCCCAGAGTCCAAAGAAAAGAGAAAATAGCCATTATGTCCCACAGTGTCTTTGATTTACAAGTGATACTTTTTCTGGTCTTTTTTTTTTTTTAATTTTACTTATTTATTTTGAGGATCAAACCCAGTGTTTCACATGTGCTAGGCAAACACTCTACCACAGAGCCACAACCCCAGCCCCTCTTTTTCTAGTCTTTAACGGTTTGGGGGCAGTTGCTTACACAGCTTACATGCCAGATACAAGCCTCAGAGGGACAGATCTCAGATAGGCAGTTAAGGAGCAAGGAAAGCTACCATTTAAAGAATGAGAGGCAAAGGGCATTAAATAGGGCAAACTGACCCAAAGAAATAGAAGGTAAAATTTTACCTTAGAAATTAATAAGAGTTCCCATGAGATTTGAGAAAAGATCTATTTGGAAGATAGTATTATAATTAAGGATACCATTTATGAGCCATCTTTCTTGATCAGCAAGTTGATATTGTGGCCTGACAGGTATTAACAGGAAGACTAAGTGTTTTTGTTTGAAATTCTGGAGATCAAACCAATGTTTAAGAATACATCCTAGAGGAGAGTCAGCTGGTACCAACTGACCACCCAAAATTTTGAACCACTTTTAGAATTCTAGGATAGACTGAATAATTTCTCATCAAGAGAGAACATTCTGATGTACCTATGTCTCTAGAATGTCCCCACGTTCAGAGGGATCAAACAAGGAAGGAGATATCTATTACCTTCAGTGTCTTGTAGAGGGAAAAATCTCACCCCTGAACCCATCAGCCAGTAGTCACAATGTACTTGCCCAATGGAGCAAGAATCCCTCACAGGCTGGTTGGACCTGTAGTTCAGAGATGGTGTCAGGGATCCTGGATTTTCAGTGCTCTCATATGGTCTTTGTACCTGAGAAAAATAGGGCAGGGAATGGGGGAGGTCTTCTGGGACCTGAAACCCAAAAAATAAAAAGGTAGAGGGAGGAAATGGGCTTGGGCGGCTCCTCGGCAGGTGGCGGTGGTGGCCTTAGCGGTTCCTCCTGGCTCTGTTAATGTCGGGGCCAGGCCCGGGGAGGATGGCGCCCTAGAGCCCGGCCTTGCTGGGTAGGGGCGGGAGGGGACGGGGTGGGGACCCGCCATGTCGGAGGTGACCCAGAGTCTGCTGCAGCGCTGGGGCGCCAGTTTTAGGAGAGGCGCCGACTTCGACTCTTGGGGCCAGCTGGTGGAGGTGATAGTCGAGTATCAGATATTAGCAAGACATCTACAAAGACACCTCAAAGAAAGAAAACTACAGACCAATATCTCTAATGAACCTAGATGCAAAAATCCTCAATAAAATTCTGGCGAATCGGATACAAAGGCACATCAAAAAAATTGTGCACCATGATCAAGTAGGATTCATCCCCGGGATGCAAGGATGGTTCAATATACGGAAATCAATAAATGTTATTCACCACATCAATAGACTTAAAAATAAGAACCATATGATCATCTCAATAGACGCAGAAAAAGCATTCGACAAAGTACAGCATCCCTTTATGTTCAAAACATTAGAAAAACTAGGGATAACAGGAACTTACCTCGACATTGTAAAAGCTATCTATGCTAAGCCTCAGGCTAGCATCATTCTCAATGGAGAAAAATTGAAGGCATTCCCCCTAAAATCTGGAACAAGACAGGGATGCCCTCTATCACCACTTCTATTCAATATAGTTCTCGAAACACTGGCCAGAGCAATTAGACAGATGAAAGAAATTAAAGGCATAAAAATAGGAAAGGAAGAACTTAAATTATCACTATTTGCAGATGACATGATTCTATACCTAGAAGACCCAAAAGGGTCTACAAAAAAACTACTAGAACTAATAAATGAATTCAGCAAAGTGGCAGGATATAAAATCAACACGCATAAATCAAAGGCATTTCTGTATATCAGCGACAAAACTTTTGAAACGGAAATGAGGAAAAACACTCCATTCACAATATCCTCAAAAAAAATAAAATACTTGGGAATCAACCTAACAAAAGAGGTGAAAGATTTATATAATGAAAACTACAAAACCCTAAAAAGAGAAGTAGAAGAAGATCTTAGAAGATGGAAAAATATACCCTGTTCATGGATAGGCAGAACTAACATCATCAAAATGGCGATATTACCAAAAGTTCTCTATAGGTTTAATGCAATGCCAATCAAAATCCCAACGGCATTTCTTGTAGAAATGGATAAAGCAATCATGAAATTCATATGGAAAAATAAAAGACCCAGAATAGCAAAAGCAATTCTAAGCAGGAAGTGCGAATCAGGCGGTATAGCGATACCAGACTTAAAACTATATTACAGAGCAATAGTAACAAAAACAGCATGGTACTGGTACCAAAACAGGAGGGTGGACCAATGATACAGAATAGAGGACACAGAGACTAATCCACAAAGCTACAACTATCTTATATTTGATAAAGGAGCTAAAAGCATGCAATGGAGGGAGGATAGCATCTTCAACAAATGGTGCTGGGAAAACTGGAAATCCATATGCAACAAAATGAAACTGAATCCCCTCCTCTCGCCATGCACAAAAGTTAACTCAAAGTGGATCAAGGAGCTAGATATCAAATCAGAGACTCTGCGTCTGATAGAAGAAAAAGTTGGCTCCGATCTACATATTGTAGGGTCGGGCTCCAAATTCCTTAATAGGACACCCATAGCACAAAAGTTGATAACAAAAATCAACAAATGGGACTTACTTAAACTGAAAAGTTTTCTCTCAGCAAGAGAAACAATAAAAGAGGTAAATAGGGAGCCTACATCATGGGAACAAATTTTTACTCCTCACACTTCAGATAGAGCCCTAATATCCAGAGTATACAAAGAACTCAAAAAATTAAACAATAAGAAAACAAATAACCCAATCAACAAATGGGCCAAAGACCTGAACAGACACTTCTCAGAGGAGGACATACAATCAATCAACAAGTACATGAAAAAATGCTCACCATCTCTAGCAGTCAGAGAAATGCAAATCAAAACCACCCTAAGATACCATCTCACTCCAGTAAGATTGGCAGCCATTATGAAGTCAAACAACAACAAGTGCTGGAGAGGATGTGGGGAAAAGGGTACTCTTGTACATTGCTGGTGGGACTGCAAACTGGTGCGGCCAATCTGGAAAGCAGTATGGAGATTCCTGGGAAAGCTGGGAATGGAACCACCATTTGACCCAGCTATTGCCCTTCTTGGACTTTTCCCTGAAGACCTTAAAAGAGCGTACTACAGGGATACTGCTACATCGATGTTCATAGCAGCACAATTCACAATTGCTAGACTGTGGAACCAACCCAGATGCCCTTCAATAGATGAATGGATAAAAAAAATGTGGCATTTATACACCATGGAGTATTACGCAGCACTAAAAAATGACAAAATCATAGAATTTGCAGGGAAATGGATGGCACTAGAGCAGATTATGCTTAGTGAAGCTAGCCAATCCCTAAAAACAAATACCAAATGTCTTCTTTGATATAATGAGAGCAACTAAGAACAGAGCAGGGAGGAAGAGCAGGAAGAAAAGATTAACATTAAACAGATACATGAGGTGGGATGGAAAGGGAGAAAAAAGGGAAATTGCATGGTAATGGAGGGAGACCCTCATTGTTATACAAAATTACATATAAGAGGTTGTGAGGGGAATGGGAAAATAAACAAGGAGAGATGTGAATTACAGTGGATGGGGTAGAAAGAGAAGATGGGAAGGGAGGGAGGGGGGATGGTAGAGGATAGGAAAGGTAGCAGAATACAACAGTTACTAATAGGGCATTATGTAAAAATGTGGATGTGTAACCAATGTGATTCTGCAGTCTGTATTTGGGGTAAAATTGGGAGTTCATAACCAACTTGAATCTAATGTATGAAATATGATATGTCAAGAGCTTTATAATGTTTTGAACAACCAATAAAAAAAAAAAAGACATCTACAAAAAGAGGCCCAAACTCAACACAACAATTCTGAATTCACAGACGAGCAAAAGAAAACCATAGGCAAAATTGCAACGTGCTTGGAATTGTGAAGCGCAGCTTTACAGTCCACACAGTCCCAGGAAGAATTTAAACTGGAGGACCTGAAGAAGCTAGAACCAATCCTAAAGAATATTCTCACATATAATAAAGAATTTCCATTTGATGTTCAGCCTGTCCCATTAAGGAGAATTTTAGCCCCTGGTGAGGAAGAGCATTTGGAATTTGAAGAAGATGAAGAAGAAGGTGGTGCTGGAGCAGGGTCTCCTGATTCTTTTCCTGCTAGAGTGCCTGGTACTTTATTACCAAGGTTGCCATCAGAACCGGGAATGACATTACTCACTATCAGGATTGAGAAAATTGGTCTGAAAGACGCTGGACAGTGCATCGATCCCTATATTACAGTTAGTGTAAAGGATCTGAATGGCATAGATTTAACTCCTGTGCAAGATACTCCTGTGGCTTCAAGAAAAGAAGATACATATGTTCATTTTAATGTGGACATTGAGCTCCAGAAGCATATTGAAAAATTAACCAAAGGTGCAGCTATCTTCTTTGAATTCAAACACTACAAGCCTAAAAAAAGGTTTACCAGCACCAAGTGTTTTGCTTTCATGGAGATGGATGAGATTAAACCTGGGCCAATTGTAATAGAACTATACAAGAAACCCACTGACTTTAAAAGACAGAAATTGCAGTTATTGACCAAGAAACCACTTTATCTTCATCTGCATCAAACTTTGCACAAGGAATGATTCTGACATGAGTAATGTGGAATTTCTGTGAATTTTACCACTCAGTAGAAACCATCATACCTCTGTGTAGCATATTCATCCTTCAGGAGGCAGGAAGTGAGCCGTACCTATAGGCCAGTGAGTCCATTGCAAAACTGTACCACAGAACTAAAGTCCAGCACCTCATTGTTATGACTCCTTTGGATACAGGTTTATTGTAGATTTTGAAACATGTTTTTACTTTTCTATTAAAAAAAAAAAAAGTAGAGGGAGGAAGAAGAGCAAGAGAAAGAGAGAAAGACCAGAGACTGAAAGTTCCCTTAATGGGACACCAAAATGCTGTGGGACCTGGGTGATTTCCAGTGCATGGGTGGTGAGAAGAATTCACCAAGACCACGAGAAGCACAGTTAAGAGTTTATTGGGAGGAGATACACTGCAAAGGTGCTGCGGGAACTTTCACTACAAAGATGTCAGCCTGTGAACTCAGATGGAGTCTGGGCTTATATGCACTTCTGAGTTCTTTGTTCATTTTTGGAAGGCTTCATGCTAGGAGTGATTTATACTCAATGGGGAGTGATTGGCAGATTCCTGTGCCTTGCCCTTTTTCTTGTCTTTAACTGATTTGGGGCAGTTATTATGTGTGCACCAAATGCTCCTTCCCAGGTTTTAAACAGGGGCATGAGAAACAAGTAATATGGATGGGGTCTTAAACAGTGGTTTTTCCCTCCTTAGGTTACTCTGGAGATCTCTGCACATCCTTGGATGGAGAAATAATCTTTTGGAAAACAGGATCTTGTTTACACTTAGGGGAAGTTAGCTCCTCTGAAAACAGCAATGGGGCAGGATGAAAGGAGGTCCTTAAACTCATATCAGCTCTGCTGACTGAGGTGAGGTGGGGCCTGGGACCAGGGTCCCTAGTCCATTCTGCTTTAGTGAGGACATGTATTTTGGTGCCAGAAGAATTGTGTAGAGAAAGAGAAACAAAGTCTGAAATATATAGAGGCAGAAACCAGTCTGTGGGTAATTGATTCAATCAGACACAAAATTATGATTGGAGCTGGGCATGGTGGTGCAGGCCTGTAATCCCAGTGGCTCGGGAGATTGAGACAGTAGGATCATGAGTTCAAAGCCAGCCTCAGCAAAATCAAGGTGCTAAGCAACTCAGTGAAACCTATCTCTAAATAAAATACTGGAGATGTGGCTCACTGGATGAGTGCCCCTGAATTCAATACCCGGTACAAAAAAAAATTATGATTGGAAGACTTAGCTTTTATTGACACCTGATCAAAACAGAAGTTCTCAAAAAACTCTTTCCTCTCATCCTGTAAGTTATGAGACAATCATAAGCCCACCAGATTCAAGAAAATTGGCTTCTACCTCTTGATGGGGGAGTGGTTCTACAAGGTTCTAGATGAGCATGAAAAGTCATTGCGGCAACTGTATTTTTTTAAAAACTGCCATAACCTCTATTAAGTTTCTCTCATCCATGAACTACTGTAGTATTGTTATTGGAGTCCTAGGGGTGTAGTTCAGTAGTAGAGTGCTTATCTAACACACCCAAGGCCCTGGGTTCAATTTTTAGTTCCCTAAAACAAACAAAAACACACAGAGAAATTCTCTACTGAAAGGGGTATTTTCAATCATACCTCGATTGCACTCTTTCCCTTTATTTGATGAGAATTTTAAGAAATAGAACTTATCATAATTCCTGTGCCGCAAGTAGCTAACACACTGTAATAAGACTCTTCACTTTTACATGCAAATGTTCAATGGGTGACTTAAAGACTTGGCATCTCTTGGATTCTAGGAACAAACTCTGATAGATAAAGATCTTGTGATAAATCAAAGCCATCCTCCAGGCAACAACTCTTATCACTGTCAAGACCACACCTGACCAATTCAGGGATAATAATGGACCAGGCCTCACCTGATCAAGATCACCTGCTTTGACAGCTGTGCAAAGCCTCCAGCTATACAAACCCCTAGCCCTTGCCCTCATTGGCCATTATATAAAACCTCAAAAGTTCTGTGCAGTGGCACACATCTGTAATTCCAGATATTTGGGAGGCTGAGGCAGAAGGATTGCAAATGCAGGGACAGCCTGAGCAACTTAGAGAGACCCTGTCTCAAAATAAAAACAAAAGGGTAAGGATGTAACTCAGTGATAGAGCACCCCTGGGTTCAATTCCCAGTGCCAAAAAGAAAAACTGAAACTTATCAGCCCCTCAAAGACTGGGCTAAGGACATGGTTTCCCTTGTCTTCTCACTGTAGCTACACTGATGAATGTTCCTTTCATGCTTTCCACCATTACCTTTTCTGTTTGGTTTTTGAGGCAAGTGGCCATTACTGATTTGTTGGATCTCCAGAGTCAGTCCTCTGGCCTAGGACTCCAATAACAATACTGCAGTAGTTCATGGATGAGAGAAACTTAGTAGAGGTTATGGCAGTTTTTTAAAAAATACATTTGCAGCAATGACTTTTCATGCTCTTCTAGAACCTTCTAGAACCACTCCCCCATCAAGAGATAGAAGCCAATTTTCTTGAATCTGGTGGACTTGTGATTGTCTCATAACTTACAGGATGAGAGGAAAGTGATACTGTTAGATCCTGAAGTCAGGTCATAAGGAGATGCAGCTTTCTCCCCTGTACCTAGAGCACTCCCACTTGGAGCTCTGAGCCTCCAACTCTAAGATTTCTATAGTGAAATTAAAAGCTTGGTTCTTATCTCCAGTGCCAATCCAACAACAAGGACAAAGTTTTGAGAAAAAAGAGACATAAAGTTTTATTGCTTTGCTAAAAAAGGAAAAAGGCAAAGACTCATGTCACTGAGGCTGTTGTTCCAACTGCCAGGAGGAACAGAGGGCCTTAAAAAGGGGGATACCAGAACTGTTTTCCAAGTATCATTATAGTGAATCCAGTTAATATTTAACTTATGTCCTTGAAAGAACTGTTGTTCCAGTTTCCAGGTCCAGAGTTTCTCTATTCTTGTGGACAGTGAGTAGAAGGGGAGATAACTTGTCTTAGGACAGGAAGAAAATTTGTTTCCCCCACAACTGGGGAGGGGAAGAGAGAAAAGAGGAAAAAAAAGAAAACATTTCAGATTTAAAATAAGCTGCCAGTGGTCAAGCAGCAAGGTTTATATTCAAAGCATGAAGTGGATCCATGACATGAAAGGGACCCTGGTTACTTAAGACAGACAGGGTGAGGAAGCCAGGCCATAGAGTCAGCTCTGGAGTCAGCTGTCCTAGAAGTTTCAGACACAGACGAACGATGATTCCAGCCCCAGCAATGTTCACTTCTAACCTGTGCCCATTTTGAATTTGTGACCCACAGAATCTGTGAGCCTATTAGAGTGATTACTGTTTTAGGCCATTTAGGTTTGAGGTGATTTGTTACATAGCCATAATAAGTAAATCAGAAGTTTTCCCAAATTTGCTAATGATTTTTAAATTGCATATATCATCAATGAAGATTTATGAAATGAAAAGAAGTTCTCAATAACTTTTATTAACTATCCATAATTGTTTAAAAATTTCAAACAAACTAAAGATTGCCATCTATTTGCACTCAAGAAAATATTTAAAAATTGGTGTTGAAAAAAAAGAGGTAGTTAGGCCATAATCCCAGCAACTCAGGAAGCTGAGGCAAGAGGGTCACAGGTTCAAAGCCAACCTAAGCAACTTATTTTAGTGAGACCCTCTCTAAAAATAAAAAAGGGCTGGGGATATGGCTCAGTGGTAAAGCACTCTGCGTTCAATCCCTGGTACCAAAAAAAAAAAGGAGAGAGAGAAAGAGAAAGAGAGAGATAGTCAAAGATTATGCCATGCAACCACACAATGAAGGGAGAGATTTAGAGTATACCTGGAAGTTTATTAATACAAATACCATGGTATTCAACTTTTTGTGTGATTTTTCTGCTTTTTAAAAGTATTTTTTGTGTGATTCCTTTTATTGTTCTAAATAAATATTCACTTAAGTGCTTAATTTTGAATCAACTTGCATAAACTTGAACCTCCATAGAACATAATCCTTGTGGTACACTAATCAAAGCACTTTATAAATAGAACATCTTTATTTATCCTCCAAGCTCTAGGAAGCTGTTACCTGTATTATTCTCATTTTGCAAATGAGAAGACTGAAGCAGGAATTGGTTGAAGAGCTGCCCCCATGTCACCTGAAAATCTATCTCAGAGGCAGTGTTCTTACCTCACCTGCAATATGAACTCTCTCTAGAAGCAGAACAGGCAAGAGGGAGCACCGAGAGTCCTTGGATCAAGTCTCACCTAAAGGAGGAAATCTAATTCTGAGCCTTTCGTTTGGATGTCAGCCCCTTCCCACTTAAACTCTAGGAAAGAAAGGCTCAGTCACTCCCCTCCCTGTACTTTTCTCCCAGAATAGCACTGGCTGGCAGTAGGAAAGTACGCAGATGGCAGGGACAGAGCAACATGCCCTGCTGAGTCTCCATTCCAGGCAAAAGTCCTGAATCAGAAAGTGGAACAGGTAACAAGATATACGATGTGAGGCCAGAATGACATGCACTTCGGGGTTCAGCCTTAATTTATCATGTCAAGATCAAGGCACAAGCAGATCTGTGTGCTTGCCTCATGAGGACATGGTTATTCACTCTGTTGACAAGTGAGAAAGGACCATTTCCTGTCCAGGACTGACCAAGACCTTACAGGAGGCTCCTCCCCTCATTCTAGGGCTGTTGGAAATGATCCTCTCTCTCAGCAAGGGACAGGATACCACCCAATCATCAAGCCACCCATTCACTTGACAAATATTTATTCATTATCTATCATGTCCCAGAAAGAGAGCTAGGAGGTTAAAACAGGCCTGATCCCCACTTCAAGAAGCTTCCACCCATAATTCACCTTCCACCCCAGGTTTCTCAGCCAGAAGAGCTTCTCGGTGCTTTAGAACATGCAGTGGTACACAACAGGAGTGCCGGAACAAAAATCTCCTCCAGAACAAACATTACTCAGTTCATTACCTTTGTTTGGAGGCAGTGTGGCAGGTATGTGAGCTTCAGGTTAAGTTATGAAGCTAGAGCATATCTCAAAGAGTTCTTGATGTCCCTGAACTAACCTCTCTCAGAATTCCTTTGCCTCTCCCCACCTGGCCTTCCCCATCTCAGGGGTCTTTCCTCACCCCCCACTTTGCCCTGTTGATTTTTCTTCTCTGATTTTTC